GAATATTAGATTTCAATAATTTGTATATAGTATCTATTATAATTTATAATAATAAATAGTGAAATAAATTGGTCAAAAACCTTCGTAGAGTTATGGAAGAAACAACTAAAGAGACAGAACAGAAAAGGGATACCGAGGATGATGCCGAGAACGCGCGAATAGAACGCACCAGACGAAGAGACGAAAGAAGAGGGATATGTCGTTGCGGTGAAAGAAGATCCCGATCGAGAAGAAGAAGAAGAAGACGAAGAATTATTTCTCGGAATCCTTTCATTATCTTCTTTCTCGAGATGTACTTTCAGACACCCGACAAACACGTGACAGAAGTCGCTCGACAAGCCGGCAAGGAATGGTGTGCCATGCGCGAGGAAGATAAAATGAAGTATAAACGTCTGGCAGAAAGAGAACGAAAAAGACGCGGGTCGACGAGAAGAAGACGCAGAGGCTGTCCTTAGCGAAATGAAATTTCTGATTGCTGCTAAACGCTCCAGATAAAATACAGTCGAAAAGGATATCATATAAAAAAATATGAAAAATAACGCTTGAGCAAACAGCAAAGGAAAATGTATTCAAAACTTTCATCCCCGTTGATATTTCGTCTTAGAATTTTTATTTTACTTTAAGAGTGTAGCACGAGATATTATTATCTCGAATAACACATATCATGTGTATCTTTGATATGTAATATTTCGAAATTTTTAAGTTTTTGAGTTTTGGATGAAATAAAAAAAAATAGTAAAATGATTGTAATAAATATGAAGGTAAAATAAAAAACGCGCGATTCTATATAATTTGTGTGATGAATTGAATATTTTTGAAACTATATAATTTGTATAACAAATTTTCATAATACTATGTTTTTATAAAAAAATATTTTATATAATAAAATTGAAAATTTAAATGCGATTATTAATAAAATATTAAAAATCAAATGTAGTCTGTAATAGTCTGTAATTTGTTTATGAGAGAACACTTGCATTTGTATTGTAAGTGATTAAAATTTTTAAAATATTTGCAGATAAATTTCTTATAATAATCAACCAAGCATTGAATACACAGATAATATAAACAGAGTATAATGGATTAAACGTCATGACGCAATGACAAAAGCACAAGACTGCACCCAATGCGACCAGTTTGATCCCTGCAGGTCGTACGAGGTCAAGGTTATACTGCAAGGAACTTTAAGTGCTTCCACATTTCACTAAAATCATTTACGATTTTTCCTGTCATAACTTTTAACGTAAGAAATTGCATGCGAGGATTCGTAAATTGAAACAAACATTTTGACAGTTTTTTTAAGTCATTCTTAAATTTATTTAAAGTTACCGATTTAAGTTGTTCAGTGCTTCATCAATTTAATCAAGAAAATATAATTTAATCCGATTTAAAAATATATATTACGTAATATTAACTATTAAATTCCTGGACATTTTTCGGAGAAAAATATCTGCGACATATCTTTCCAACATTTTCTTGTCCAGATGTTTCACAGAAATCATAAATAAAAAGCTATACTGTTATATTATATATAACTATAGTTATCAATGCAATATACGTAATGCACTGGCTTGCTTCGCGCAATGCATAGTCTGCCCACCTCTTGTGCAAACAAACTTCCACCAACTGCATTGGCATTCATTCATTTTCACACAGATATATCGCCACACATCATTGAACGCGAATCACCTCGCTGTTCTCGCGCGCTTTTAGCAAGTACACTTGCGAACATATTAACACTTGGTTTCAAACCAATTGATAACCGTCGTACAGCTTTCATATCGCATCTACCTTTCATGTGAAGCTCGCGGCATTATTAATGAAGCTGTGTAATTTTCGTCTGATTTATTACTGATAGAGTCGCTGAAGCAACGAATCATCAACGCATCAATATCCATTTTAAATAGTTTTTTATCTTACTAATTAACAGAGATTGATCCAGAAAAGAAAATTAATTAAAGTATTAATGAAAGATATATTTCCAATTTTTTATCTCTTCTTACTGAGCGAACTTTTCGCTTTCAAATAAAATTGCTTCAACATTTTTATCACAATTAATCACGAAATTTTTATCAACATCTCCTAAGATTTTCTGAATTATCTTATTCGCATCCCAAAGCCCATAACAACCCTACATCGTCACTAATACTATGCGAGCTTTCTCATAATCTTCTCATAATCTTCGCAGCATCCCCCTTAAAGCCAATGGCCTCGTTCCATCGCCCGATTCCAAGTTGTAAACTCGTCCAAAGTGAGACTTACCGTGCGGAGGAATGATACGTCATCTTGCTCGGAGCCACCCTCGCTATCGGCCATCCCTTCGGTGCGGTTCCACGCGGCGACACTTCTCCGTTTACGTCACCTCTGCGCGTTCGTGCGTGCGTACGCGGGTGTGCGTGCGTGTCTCGCGTGTCACTCCGTGTCCGAGGCACCCTTAACGATGCTCGAGGCAAGTGTGGTCATGCACAATTCCGCGTGGACGGCATGCTCCTATCAATACACTCGAGCTCCCGGCCTCTCGTCGGGGACGACGTCGACGACGACGGTGATGTCGACGTCGGCGTGTTAAACCGTCGTGGGGCACCGACGATCACCCACTGCTGATCGGAGGGCACCCAGACCGCCGACGTCCCTCGCGCAAGCGCCCAACACCTTCAATCAAATTCCGCATGCTCGAGATTCTGTTAACGTGAAAATCTCACGTTTATGTGGCCGCGTTACACACGGTTTTTGCGTTACACGGCCGTTCATCTCGTGAAATATTGTTAACACTTTCTACACTTTTTTTTAAATTTTAAAGAAGAATAAAAGAGGGCGATGTTTAGAGGGTGGGTTTTAAAAATGAAAATATTGTGCCAATGTGTTGCAGTTAAATCAGTTTATAGTTAAATATGTGAATCGGAATGATTTACGTGGGCTTCTTTCTTGACAGTTTGAATCTTTGCATTTTCTATTTTTTATTTTTAATAAAAATATAGTTTCACATTTTGTATTATTAGAATTCATAAAATTAGTTTTTGAAGAAGCATTATGTTTATAAACTGTTTTAGTTTATGTTAACGTACAATGTGTTAATAAATATCAAATATTGAATATCACACAACGAGAAAGAAGGTGTGTAAGTAGTTCAGTAATTTTGTAGTCGTGTAAAAATAGTTTTGAGCAAACACATCTGTTATTTCACCGACGAACGCAAAGGCAAAGGTTCAGATGTGAGTCATTAAATGAGTGTGTGCTTCGTCAGATTACATTACAGAATTAGAAAGTATTTTGGATTGCGAAAGCAGTTGGAAAATGTGTCGCGGATTGAAAACTAAGTTAATACAGCCTATACGGTAGTTTATACGGTTTACGAGCATAAAAGGCACAAGTTTTAACTTGTGACATTTGACTTGAATGTGAAGATCAAAAATATCGATTATTGATTTAGTACAATCGATGTCATTGAATACAACCGATAAATAAAATATAAACTGTTAACTATAACATACAGCTAAACCACAGATAAAACACAGTTTCAAGTTTGCATCGTGGTTTTACTAGGATGTGCGTACAAACTTCAACTTTATACCAGCAGTGTACATAGCAGTCGTTTAATTTATGACATTGCAATGAGCGTAACATTATATTATTTATTATAATTTAAAAATGTTAAAAATTGAATATTATTTATTGATTTATTTCAAATGAAACAGTTTTTGCATTGATTAAATTTTGCCATTTTTATTTGATGGCATGTCTGTTGATAAGTTTGCTAAAATTATCAAGGAACTTGTTTTATCAAACTTTTATATTTTTTTTAATGATTTGTACACGATACGTTCATAAAACGAAAATAATTTTATGATAAAAAAATATATAATATAATAGTCTATAGTAAAAAAATATTTTTAAGAAATGTAAGTATGATAAATAATGATATTTCGTAGGTATAAAAAATTCAGGTTATAAAATGCTTTGCTAAGGTTTTATTTATTCTCGTGAAACTGTGATGTTGAGAGCAATGTAAATTTTGCAAAAATTGAATTAAATATTTTATTGAATTAAATATTTTGCAATATTTTGATAACTCCTATATGTTGTTATTTAATATTTGGAAGAGGAGATAAAATTTTTTTACTTTTTTCCCCTAACAATTGCGTAGTATAAAATTTGATAACACGATGCAATGAATTGACACAAAATTACGCCTGGTTGATTTTACCTTCTCTGAGAGTCTATTTCCAGCAACGCGACAGAAATAGATGCATCCGTGATGGCTTACCGAAATATCTCCCCATGCGCTTAGCGAGGTTCACCTCCCCATTATCGCGTTTAATATGTAATCGAAGGTTAAGGATATTTCTTGAAAAGCACATGTAGATGCCTATCTTTATAAAAATTCTCAAATGTTTAGCTGTAATGGGAACCGCATTAACTGTACCGTGCGATAAAATTGCTTCAGAATGAATTAAATAAAAATGTCATAGAAAGTCGATAAAATAACGTCTTCTGTGTGTATGTAACATGTGTTCTATAAATATTTCTTGTATCCTCATCGCGTTTGCCATGATATTGAATGTTTTATATGTCAAAGACTACGATTATTGCTTTTACAAATATTATTTCTCAATAATATCGCAGAAATCATACTGAAATGAAACAATAAAAATGAATTGATAATTCTGATTTTAAAATTTTGACGGAATAACGAAAATGTAGATTTGATAGTAGATTTAATTTATTAAATTTTTAAGTTAATTTTAAATGGATCAATTTCAAGGACAATTGAGGAATATTTATTAGACATTTTTATGATGATTTTTTATTTCTACTGTCTGGCAGTGCTACTCCAGAAAGCAGTATTGCAGTAAGAATATAAAAGTTTCTAATTTTAGAATATAAAAGCATATGACTGTCTGCTGAATTTGCAACCATATGCGAAAATGCGAAATTTAGAATGCGAAAATTAAGCTTCTTCTCCGAACTGGTAATTAAATATTTGCCCGTTCTTCGTTTAATCAAACTTTTAAAATTAATTTAATCATGATGTAGCGTGCGTTAAAGCTACATATAAAATTGCTGTCAGATATAAATGACATTTTTTGGTGGTATTCCAAGTTGGTCGTATAGAAGTCACACATTTATAACACTCCCTGAAAACTACTTTGAATTAGCTAATTAATTAAGAAAACTATGCAAAAAAAAAACACGATTTTCCAGAAACACGTCACCGAAAGCATCACGAAACGCACGGTCACATGCACAGTCACACATACACACCCACACACATATAGTCCTACGATGAAATGGAGTGCAACCGGTGGTTTCGTTCTCGAAGTTCACATGTGCGCGTATGAGAAGAGATGGAAATTAATCGCGATGATTCAGCCCGCGAGGACTCACCTCGAAATAATGAGGTTTCACCCCCGTCACAAGTCGATGACCTCGCACAGAAATTCACGAACGCACGCAAACGCACCACCCCACCGCACGAGGGGGTGCGAGAAATCGTATATTTCACGCCCGGCCGAGGGGTTCCTCAGGACTCCTACTTTCCTGATCGTGCAAGATCGGACCCCTGCGACGGAATATTTGTTGGAGCTCGCAGAGCTGTGCCGAACCGAACGGGGCGATGGCTATTTTCAGCCTCGAGCCGACTGGCGTCACTTCGCTCCGCGCGTTTTGCATCTTACCTGAGAAAGTTTCGGGGACTCCGCAATCGCGACATCAAAGTCACCTGAGGTTTGTCAGTGACCGCAATTAATGCGTAATACATTGAGAGGAACCGACAATTTTCCTCGTTTCGTCCAATATTGAAATTTTATTCATTTATTCATTTTTTAGATTTCATTTTTCGAGCGAATCTCTTTTGCATTGCTCCTAAAAAGATTTTGGACATTTATTTTTGTATATTTATGACACCGATATGAAGCTCTCAACCATAAATTTGTAACAGTAAATGGAACAATAGGAAAATGTTTTAATATTTGAACTTTTTATCTTTTTTTTCAAAAAGATTTATTATTTATTATGTTTATCATGAAATAATTTTTATTGCAAAATATTAGTTACCATAAAATTGTTTCCAATGTATATGATTTGTATGTTGCATAAAATGTTATTTATATTATATTATTTATATTATCATATTTCGATGAAATAATTTATCAAGAACTTATTGATAATTCTATTTCGCATTTATATATATTTTTAATAAATAAACATATTGTGTATTAAAACAGCAGAATTTAATTCTGCAATGCAAAAGCTGTTAAATAAATCATTTGGCGATATTCGATTTATAACAATATCAAATATCAGCAAACGACTATTATAATTTTATACTTCGCTTTTGCTGCCATTGATGCTTGCCAAGATATTCAATGTAATGCATTGTCATTGGCAAAACACACGATAAATAGATAGATAGATTTTTCTCAAACGATTTAATCAATTTACATATTTATTGTTATTTGTAATTAATTATTATTTGTAAAATTGAATTTCTATAAATTGCTGTGTCAAATTTAATGGCTTACTATTATTGCTGCTGACATTTAAAAACTTGTTGTGAGTTCATAACACAGTGAGGATCCTTTCCTTTGACAAATCCATAATAGTGCCCTGTTAAAGAGTTATTACTGTTTAATATCTTACTATTTATGATAATACAATCCTCTGTGTCAGATGTAGGATAAGAGGGAGCACTGTAAAAAAATCCAAATTCATAATAAGTAACAGTCACAAAATAATAAAAAGAAACTGTAGATGAAGTATATGTAAATGATAAATCGAATAACAATTTGCTTACCTTTCCCAAAAGTGTAATTTGCGTCTGGAAAAGACAGAAAAAGAAATTATATAATATACACATTTTATAATATTCAGGAAAAACTCAGAAGCAACTTACTTTATAGGAACAGCAGGGAATCCACAATCATCATCCAGCACATCAATTACATAATCGATGGATCTGCTGTGCGAACAAACGACGATAGGAGGATCGAACTCTGAAATGCAAATTCATTTTATTTACGATTTTTCTTCGCTGTTATTCTAGCAATTATTTATAAAAAAAAATCTCTGTATATCCAATAATTAGATATATATATATATATATATATATATATATATATATATATATATATAGTAATAATTAA